TGGTTTGCTTCCGAAATCCTACTTTGCTGTTTAAATATAACTGAACTAATCAGACAGAATTTGTTAGTTTCCATAAAAGGTATTACATCGTTTAGAACATGCTAGAGATTTGATTCAGCGTCTATTTGTGTAGATAATCTTGTGGAAATTTTGAATATTTACAGGCAAAGTTGTATGCTTAGCACATATTTTTACGTGCGTCATATGTTTAAAACAAACCGATTTAAAGAAATTCTGTCAAACTTTATATTCGGAGAGATGATGTAATAAACTAAGAAGACGGGTACCTAATTCGTGCCTGTCTTAAGAGTTTGAGATTTATGAAGATAGTGGCGATACAACACGAGTAGGACCATGTATTTACATACCATAAACCATCATCTCTATACTTTCCTTCTTAGTTTGGTAAGAAAAAAATAATTCATGAAATATGAAGCTGCGCGGAAAATATATGAGTAATCAGACTGCATTTAGGATTTTTGTTATTTTAAAATAATATTATTTTGAACAATTACATGGACAATTTGGAAATTTATTTGTGTTTCTTTACTATATGATTTCACACATATCATTAATTCGTGTCTGTTGCTTTCAAGCTGTCATACTGCAAGATAGTTTTCGGAAATTAACAGAGGTACTAACTAAAAATATACTACTTATGAACCAGAAGTAATTTTTACCAATCTTATTCAAATTTATATTTTACCAAATCTTGATGTTTAAGTAATTGGGTTTTATTGAAATTTATTTAATCAAAAAAGAATTGTTATGTTCCATCTTTTAATACAGGAGTTTATGGTAATCAGAAATGTAAATTACGTTTCTATTAAGTTATATTTAAAAAAAAATCAATATTTTCATGTGGAGAACATACTTGAATTTTAATAAATCGTCTGAATTCGAGGTTTGTAAACCAAGTACTTGTTGTATATCTAACATTATGATGATAAACGTTAAAATTGCACTTAATGTTGGTTTGATATTACAGATTAAGTATATTCTTTGAAGAAAGACTTTAAGATAATAAGTTATTCGATGATTTTACCTTAGTATAATTATTGTGTTGTGGAGCAGAGCAATGCTATAATAACCATGATAAGCCCTTTATGTATTTTGCAAAAATAAGCAGTAAGAAAACAGTATAGCTGGAATATTATGAACCGTACAATACCTTTGTTCATTCTTAGCGAATACTACCTTTGAATCAACCTTTTAAAGTGAACTGTCAAAGCTTTCCGTGATAGGCAGAGCACAGGAAGATTCTTGTGTAATTTCTTGCTTAACAACAACCAAACTGTCAAAATTTGTGTACAATGGATGAAATAGCTTATTGCCGGATGACAACTTTTTTAAATGATTGTGTTATAAATAATCAAGTCCATAATTAAAGTGTATCTTCTGTGTAACAGTATTATGTACCATATGTAAGCTTATATTACTGATTAATAATGTGAAATGCTATCTTCGGTGTAACAGTATTATGTACCATATGTAAGCTTATATTACTGATTAATAATGTGAAATGCTATCTTCGGTGTAACAGTATTATGTACCATATGTAAGCTTATATTACTGATTAATAATGTGAAATGCTATCTTCGGTGTAACAGTATTATGTACCATATGTAAGCTTATATTATTGATTAATAATGTGAAATGCTATCTTCGGTGTAACAGTATTATGTACCATATGTAAGCTTATATTACTGATTAATAATGTGAAATACTCAGGCCCGACCTTATTTTTTAGACAATTACCTACAAGCGAACCCATGGGCCTATGACCCACATTTACTGGGCCGCTATAATACAAATTTAATGCTTCAAATACTATTTTGCACTTTCTCAGTTTAATGATCATTGGCGCTATAATGCAAATTTAATTTATTCAACCAAGTTACGAACGGTAATTAGTAGGACTACTTATTTGCATGCTCTAACATAAATCAATGCCAAATTTAGGGTCCACTTTTGGGTAATCCCCGTAAAAGTGTTTTCGCGAAATACCGGGGTTTCCTGAGAGGTTTATGAAAAGTTTTACTTTTGGGCAAACCTCGGGGTCGAGGCGATTCGTTTGGTGCTATTTAGAAATTGGTGCGACCAGCGGTTTAGGATATATATATATATCTGTGTCAGTGTAAACTACATGTACCTGATGATGACAAAGCCTTGTATATTTGTGTACATTTGTTGTTATGTCAAACTTATAACAAAGTTTTTCTTCGTTACCCATTCAAGCCTTCTCCAAACATTATATCTTACAGTATGAAACAAAGAGGTCACATTACCGGATACTGATGCAAGACTTAGAAGAGATATCTTGGCATCCAACGGTGTTGGTTTAGAGTATGGTTGTTTTGTTCAGTTAAGATGGATTCCTTGATTCTTCGTTTGTTTATGTTTGGTTATTTGTTTAAAATTACTGTGTTTTTAATAGATATACTATGTTGTTTTTGAGTTGCAATGGTGGAAAACATGGGACGGTTTTTTATTGTGTTCTGTGAAACTGGTTTCCAATTTTCTTCCTGTTTCTCCGATGTAGAATTCTGGGCAGTTATTGCATGTTATTTTGTAAATGACGTTGGCATTGTGTGATTCTAAATAATATTTGTTTAATACCAATTTTAATTTAAGGCCAGCTTTTTGAGAGAATTTAACGTTGACAGAAATTTTGTGTTTAATGACTAGTTTTGCACAAGTGTGGATAATTCTTGAGCTGGTTTCAGGGACAAAAGGTAAACTGCAGTGTAATGTTTTGTTGTAGAGTTTGTTAGTACCACTTTTGTTAGTGATTTGAGTTTTGTTGTTGTGAATGTTGG